AAAAAAAAAGATCATTCTTTTCTCTCCTAATCTCGTTTTTCCACCCAGTCATTGAAAAAAACAATGTACAAAGAAGAAAGCGTCCACCTATGAATGCATACATTCATACATACAGAGGTATATACATTGCATTTTTTTTCCCCACTATGATCGCATCATTAAAAAAAACACTGCGCTTTTCATTCATCTCTCATTTATCGACAAAAAAAAAAATCACGTCTATCAGGTACCTTTCAACACGTATCATGACAAATAAAGCCGCAAATATGAAGACAAACAGTAAAAAAAACAAAACATACACAAGAGTGATGAGCAAAAGGAAAGAAAAAAAAAAAAGTACACAACAGTATTCTCATGAACCTCAAAAAAAGGAAAAAAAAGGACGAACAAAATAGAGACAAATATGAAGAAAAAAACACANTTTTTTTTTTTTAAAGGAATGTATGTGTAGTGTGTATGTGTGGTCTTAATTCTACTAAGTCAATGCTTTCACTCTCTCTCTCTTCTTATTCTTTTTATTTCTTACTATTTTTTTACGATTATACTTCAACTACCCTTTTTTTTTCCAACGGAAAAAGAATGAGTAAATTGCTTAAAAATTACCAATTATATTTTATATGATTTACACATACAAACGAATAAAAAAAAAAAAAAACACCAGATACAGAAACAGAAACACATAACGCGAAACAAAACAAAAACAAGACTTCAACAACCGCACAGTTCAGTGACAGCCACATCCAGAAAAAAAAAAATACAAAGGTAAGAGGAATAATTAGGGAAAATTTACATTAAATACTACAAACCCATTAGCCTCTTTTCCAGAAACGCATGACTTGATTGGTTAACGTGGATTCTGCTGCTTCCCTCCCTTATTCTCTTCTTCCTATTTACTCTTTTTCTTTATCCTTGCTTCCTTCAACACGTCAAGGTTTCATGCGCTGTTTCTTTTTTTTTTTCTTTTATTTCTCTCTCCATTTTTTTTTTTTTACTAGCTTTCTCATGACTTTCGCAGAAACGAAAAAAAAAAGTTATATAATCTACGGGGTACAGAAGTAGTTCCCTGTCCACCACTGTCCCTATCACCCACCCCTCCTCACACCACAGGGTTACTCGCTCTTCTTGGCGACCTCATCCACAGAGGTCTTGATCTTTCCAATGTACTTCTCAAGGTGCTCCTGCGCCCGTGCAATCACGGCGTCGATGGTGTCCTTCTTCCGCTCGTACACCGCAGGGAGAGTGAAGGCCAGCACGACAGCACACACCGCCAGAGTTACATCAGACATCAAGTTCCCGAGAGCAGCGGCCACAACACTCGCCACCGCAACAGCCGCCGAGGCGCGTGTGTCGCGCCACAAGACGAGTTCGTGCAGCTTCTCGAGTGCATCCGCCACCCGTGGGGCGAGAGAGTCCACCGCCCGCTGGATGTCGTCCGACGTGAGAGTGCAGCGCTTCGTGACGTTGGCCACCAGACCAGCAGCAAGGAGCAGCTGGAGAACGCGGCAGGCAAATGTTACTACCGTATATTCCATCATACAAAAGAACATAATGAAAAGAAGTGTGCTGCCCAGCATGGCACCAGTGACCTTAGGGCGGTGCCATGCAAGAACGTCCCACAGGGACATCCCTCGGCACTCGTTCATGAGACAGAAAGTCATAATGAGGTTTTCTTTTCTGTTACTTAAATCTTTATTCTTTTTTTCTCAGGTGGAATCACAGGGTGTGGCGCACTCGTGTCTCCGTCCGTTTGCAAATACAACTTGGTCAAACTTTCTTTCCGTTTTAAGAATTAGACACAGAGAAAAAGAAAAAAAGAAAGAAAAAAGAAAAAGTGTGTGTGTGGCAATGACAATAAGGAACAGGTGGAAAACGTGTGATTTACTTCCTTACTAAATGAAGGAAGGTCAAACAGGTCAGAGAAACCGAGAGCACAACAACCCAGCGTGGAGAGGTATATTGGTAAAGAAAAGAAAACACTTTATGGCTGAACCCGCTCTCACATTTTAAAACTTGAGTAAAACCCTCTGCAACTGGAAGGCAGTATACGGGACTATACAGAGAGCATTGGCAAAAAATAAAATAAAATAAAGAAAAACTGACTGAAAGTGAAAATAGCACTGCTAGAAATAACATTCAATATCTTTTGCGTAGGCAAGGATCTGTACACATAGCTTTGTTACTAGGTTGGCCAGGGTGAGGCTCTGTATGCCTTATGAGCCAGAGTAAGTGTCCAGTCGTCGTATTCGAGCCCCTTCGTATGCATTCTTTCCAAAAGAGTCTCTACACTCTCGGTTATGATGGTTTCGGTGAGCCCTGGTTTGGGGAAGTCCGTGTAGAGCTGCAGCAGTATGTGGTACAAACCTGCGCCAGCTCGACGTTCAGTGTACTGTTCCCAGTTATCCATAGCGGCAAAGCAAGCCTGCAAGTGTGTCTCCCCATAACCTGTGATGAGGTGTAAACGTCGCAGCAACAATGCCAAAGGCTCACTCACGTCGATGATGTCGAAGCAATGACTGCGCAGTGAACTAAGAAGAAGTTCCTCCATCTCTTCAATACTTCGGGAGTGTGAAAATGCAGCATAAAACATTTGGCGTTGTCTACGGTGTAACTCCGTCCTGGATTCATACCACGTACTAGATTCCTGCTTGTGATTTTCATCTCTCCACTGTTTGTCCTCCATATTTACTGATTCAGAGGTATTCTCTCCATCGTTCTTGCGATAACGTTCATGTACGCGGCGGGTGCATTCTTCGTACGCCCACGCAATTTTACGGAAGCCTTCATCAGTACCACCAACGTCAGGGTGTTCGGTTCGACATTTAGCACGATAGGCTGTTTTCACCGCTTCAATACTACTACTTTGGCTAATCCCAAGAGTTTTAAAGGGACAACGTCCTGAAAGGGAAAAGTCCTCTCCATGACCTTTGCTGCTGATAAAGCACCTTGAAGTGCCACTTACATATTGGTAGATCGGTACTTGTGTACATAAAGAAAAACACACTCTTTTCAGTGACCCCTTTCCTATCATGAGGATAATATTTTCAAAGAATCATCATCCAATACCCCATTGACTAACAGAAACAAAAAGGGAGGAAAACAAAACATTCTTCTATCACCCACTAATCTTACCAATAAGTTCTTTAACAGCCAATGTGTTCTTACTATTCCCACCCCAACCACAAAAAATAGCTTGTCACTTTCATACCGCATACGGTAGCCAACTTTTCCCAGAATAAATGTACTCATCCACAGTACAAGCGGGCTGTATGTCTCGGTACTGCGTCCAGCGTTGCAGGAACTCTGGCTTTGGAATAATCTTTCCACCGTATTTTCCCTCAAATTGTTTCATGTAGTCTATGCGGAATCCCCAATACCACAAGTCGTAACCGCACCTCTGTAGCGACTCACCCAATAGCTTTGTTAAGATAGTTCCGAACCCCTCAGCAGATCGTTCAAGCGTAAACATTGTGAAATCATGATACACAGATCCAAGAGCATAACCCAAACAACCAGCCATCACCTTACTGGTACTTTTTTCCAACAGTTCCACACACATTATACGTACACCAAACTTAGGTGATTTTGCCATGTCAGCGAGTAGGGCGACATAATCATCATCCAACCACGTACTATTCGGTGGACCTGAGTGATATTCCTGCGCCAAACGCAGTGAATCACCAATATTACGATTCACCACAATCGCGAATTTATTGCTTGCAACAAGACGACGAATCTTTTTGTTTCTCCTCCACTCAATACCTTGGTAACGAAGGTCAATACAGAAGCGACCGTCCTTGCCGTTTGGAAGCACAAATATATTGACACCACAGATCTCAGACGGAAGCGCAAAAAGAGAGTGGTAAAACAGGAGCATAAGAAGTTCCTGGACCGACTTTGTGGGCTTCTCTATAAACATGTAGTTTTCCTTCTGAGCTTGCACACACTCAAGAAAGTCATCAGAGAAGGGTTGGTCAGGGTGAATAACAGCAGATGGTTTGCACATAATCATGGGCCCGAAAATGGGTTTTGTCCTTACGAGAATTTGCACAGCTTTATCTTCGCCAGAAAAACTTAATGACACACAATACTCGCAATCCGGTTCCAACGCCCACAAAACCGCAACGTAATCACTCGACGCACCATCACTCTTTTTAGCACAAATAGGGAATGACTGCTGCGATGGGGCAGCACTACCCGTAAAGGATTCACAGGAGATTACTGTGAACGGATGTTCCGAAAACAGTTCGAAGTAGTTAAACTCATTTACAAATCGGATTCTTGTCCTTATAATATTTACTTCATTTGCCATCAAAAACATGCAAGGTCTACTTGACCAAGTGATCTATTGAACAGAATATACAAGTACAAGAAAGTGCAATTCACCACACAGCTAGAAAAATAAAGAGGATTTCACACAACAACAAAAAAAAAAAAAAACAGACGTCTTATCCAACAACAAACACAAAAAAAAAAAATTCACAGAGGCGACTGCAACGCAGAAAATAATTAGGGAAAATTTACATTAAACACTACAAACCCATTAGCCTCTTTTCCAGAAACGCATGACTTGATTGGTTAACGTGGATTCTGCTGCTTCCCTCCCTTATTCTCTTCTTCCTATTTACCCTTTTTCTTTATCCTTGCTTCCTTCAACACGTCAAGGTTTCATGCGCTGTTTCTTTTTTTTTTTCTTTTATTTCTCTCTCCATTTTTTTTTTTTACTAGCTTTCTCATGACTTTCGCAGAAACGAAAAAAAAAAGTTATATAATCTACGGGGTACAGAAGTAGTTCCCTGTCCACCACTGTCCCTATCACCCACCCCTCCTCACACCACAGGGTTACTCGCTCTTCTTGGCGACCTCATCCACAGAGGTCTTGATCTTTCCAATGTACTTCTCAAGGTGCTCCTGCGCCCGTGCAATCACGGCGTCGATGGTGTCCTTCTTCCGCTCGTACACCGCAGGGAGAGTGAAGGCCAGCACGACAGCACACACCGCCAGAGTTACATCAGACATCAAGTTCCCGAGAGCAGCGGCCACAACACTCGCCACCGCAACAGCCGCCGAGGCGCGTGTGTCGCGCCACAAGACGAGTTCGTGCAGCTTCTCGAGTGCATCCGCCACCCGTGGGGCGAGAGAGTCCACCGCCCGCTGGATGTCGTCCGACGTGAGAGTGCAGCGCTTCGTGACGTTGGCCACCAGACCAGCAGCAAGGAGCAGCTGGAGAACGCGGCAGGCAAATGTTACTACCGTATATTCCATCATACAAAAGAACATAATGAAAAGAAGTGTGCTGCCCAGCATGGCACCAGTGACCTTAGGGCGGTGCCATGCAAGAACGTCCCACAGGGACATCCCTCGGCACTCGTTCATGAGACAGAAAGTCATAATGAGGTTTTCTTTTCTGTTACTTAAATCTTTATTCTTTTTTTCTCAGGTGGAATCACAGGGTGTGGCGCACTCGTGTCTCCGTCCGTTTGCAAATACAACTTGGTCAAACTTTCTTTCCGTTTTAAGAATTAGACACAGAGAAAAAGAAAAAAAGAAAGAAAAAAGAAAAAGTGTGTGTGTGGCAATGACAATAAGGAACAGGTGGAAAACGTGTGATTTACTTCCTTACTAAATGAAGGAAGGTCAAACAGGTCAGAGAAACCGAGAGCACAACAACCCAGCGTGGAGAGGTATATTGGTAAAGAAAAGAAAACACTTTATGGCTGAACCCGCTCTCACATTTTAAAACTTGAGTAAAACCCTCTGCAACTGGAAGGCAGTATACGGGACTATACAGAGAGCATTGGCAAAAAATAAAATAAAATAAAGAAAAACTGACTGAAAGTGAAAATAGCACTGCTAGAAATAACATTCAATATCTTTTGCGTAGGCAAGGATCTGTACACATAGCTTTGTTACTAGGTTGGCCAGGGTGAGGCTCTGTATGCCTTATGAGCCAGAGTAAGTGTCCAGTCGTCGTATTCGAGCCCCTTCGTATGCATTCTTTCCAAAAGAGTCTCTACACTCTCGGTTATGATGGTTTCGGTGAGCCCTGGTTTGGGGAAGTCCGTGTAGAGCTGCAGCAGTATGTGGTACAAACCTGCGCCAGCTCGACGTTCAGTGTACTGTTCCCAGTTATCCATAGCGGCAAAGCAAGCCTGCAAGTGTGTCTCCCCATAACCTGTGATGAGGTGTAAACGTCGCAGCAACAATGCCAAAGGCTCACTCACGTCGATGATGTCGAAGCAATGACTGCGCAGTGAACTAAGAAGAAGTTCCTCCATCTCTTCAATACTTCGGGAGTGTGAAAATGCAGCATAAAACATTTGGCGTTGTCTACGGTGTAACTCCGTCCTGGATTCATACCACGTACTAGATTCCTGCTTGTGATTTTCATCTCTCCACTGTTTGTCCTCCATATTTACTGATTCAGAGGTATTCTCTCCATCGTTCTTGCGATAACGTTCATGTACGCGGCGGGTGCATTCTTCGTACGCCCACGCAATTTTACGGAAGCCTTCATCAGTACCACCAACGTCAGGGTGTTCGGTTCGACATTTAGCACGATAGGCTGTTTTCACCGCTTCAATACTACTACTTTGGCTAATCCCAAGAGTTTTAAAGGGACAACGTCCTGAAAGGGAAAAGTCCTCTCCATGACCTTTGCTGCTGATAAAGCACCTTGAAGTGCCACTTACATATTGGTAGATCGGTACTTGTGTACATAAAGAAAAACACACTCTTTTCAGTGACCCCTTTCCTATCATGAGGATAATATTTTCAAAGAATCATCATCCAATACCCCATTGACTAACAGAAACAAAAAGGGAGGAAAACAAAACATTCTTCTATCACCCACTAATCTTACCAATAAGTTCTTTAACAGCCAATGTGTTCTTACTATTCCCACCCCAACCACAAAAAATAGCTTGTCACTTTCATACCGCATACGGTAGCCAACTTTTCCCAGAATAAATGTACTCATCCACAGTACAAGCGGGCTGTATGTCTCGGTACTGCGTCCAGCGTTGCAGGAACTCTGGCTTTGGAATAATCTTTCCACCGTATTTTCCCTCAAATTGTTTCATGTAGTCTATGCGGAATCCCCAATACCACAAGTCGTAACCGCACCTCTGTAGCGACTCACCCAATAGCTTTGTTAAGATAGTTCCGAACCCCTCAGCAGATCGTTCAAGCGTAAACATTGTGAAATCATGATACACAGATCCAAGAGCATAACCCAAACAACCAGCCATCACCTTACTGGTACTTTTTTCCAACAGTTCCACACACATTATACGTACACCAAACTTAGGTGATTTTGCCATGTCAGCGAGTAGGGCGACATAATCATCATCCAACCACGTACTATTCGGTGGACCTGAGTGATATTCCTGCGCCAAACGCAGTGAATCACCAATATTACGATTCACCACAATCGCGAATTTATTGCTTGCAACAAGACGACGAATCTTTTTGTTTCTCCTCCACTCAATACCTTGGTAACGAAGGTCAATACAGAAGCGACCGTCCTTGCCGTTTGGAAGCACAAATATATTGACACCACAGATCTCAGACGGAAGCGCAAAAAGAGAGTGGTAAAACAGGAGCATAAGAAGTTCCTGGACCGACTTTGTGGGTTTCTCTATAAACATGTAGTTTTCCTTCTGAGCTTGCACACACTCAAGAAAGTCATCAGAGAAGGGTTGGTCAGGGTGAATAACAGCAGATGGTTTGCACATAATCATGGGCCCGAAAATGGGTTTTGTCCTTACGAGAATTTGCACAGCTTTATCTTCGCCAGAAAAACTTAATGACACACAATACTCGCAATCCGGTTCCAACGCCCACAAAACCGCAACGTAATCACTCGACGCACCATCACTCTTTTTAGCACAAATAGGGAATGACTGCTGCGATGGGGCAGCACTACCCGTAAAGGATTCACAGGAGATTACTGTAAACGGATGTTCCGAAAACAGTTCGAAGTAGTTAAAATCCCGTAGAAGACGAAGCCCCATAAAAACGGTTTTCTTTTGTCCTTCTTCTTATTCTTTATGATTGCTGTTCTCTTTTTTTTCACTCTTTAGTTTTGGAACTAAAGAGGAAATAAAGGGGAAAAAGCAAACTTTGGGACTACACATGTAGATGGAGAGAAAGAGTTGAAAGAAAGAAAGAAAGAAAGAGGGAGAGAATTTTGAAGGGTAATCAACGTTAAGAACGGTTAAATAATTTGGTTTAACATTATCAAGAGAATAAGGAAATAGAATAAGAAAGTTAAGCACATAACATAATCCAAAACGTTATCATAAACTATGCCAATGTAGCGGTGTTACCACCTTTGAGGAACCCATTAGAGAGACACATAAGAAAGAAAAAAAAAACAAATAATAAAGAGAGAAACAAACAAACAAATAGTCAAATAAATTTTGTAGGGATACCACTCCTAACAATTAAATATGAATTTTTTTGATGTGTAACTTGGGTACCCTTTACTTTTCAATAATTTCATACCAGTACTTAGTAACATCTGTACTAACCCATAAACTCCATAAAGAGTTTATATATTCTTCTATAATTACCTACGATAATCCTGTGATAGCACCAGTATCTCCGTCAATATCTATGTTAAAGAAAGCTGGTCGTGTTGGAAGTCCTGGCATAGTGGAAATATCACCCAGGATTGGAAATACAAACTTCGCACCACAGTTTACCCGAACATCACGAATGGGTACAATAAAACCTGTTGGAGCTCCTTTTAGTGATGGATCATGGGAAAAACTATATTGCGTCTTAGCCATACAGATAGGATATAAACCAAAACCACGATGCTCAAAATCTTCCAATTTCTCATTAGTATCATTAAGATATTCCACACCGGCGGCACCATATATTTCTTTGCATATCTTTTCTATTTTCATTTTAAGGCTATCCGTATCTGGATATAGGAAACGAAAATCTGCCTTTATTGTTTGGGTCGCACGAATAAGAGCATTAGCAAGGTCCACAGCTCCTGCCCCTCCCCGAGACCAGTTGTTTGTTACAACCACATCAAAAGCACCTGCTTCACGTAAAGCAAGTTCTTTCACAATATCCAATTCCATTTTGGTATCTGTAGAAAATTCATTAATAGCAACAACAACAGGGACACCAAATTTACGTATATTTTCAACATGACGTAAAAGATTTGAGCATCCATGACGAAGGGCATCAATATTTTCAATAGAAGCCTTGCTTGGTTCAACTCCTCCATGAAATTTCAAAGCACGGAGGGTTACAACAACAACTGCCGCATCAGGTCTCAGTCCACTGGTGCGACATTTTATATTAAAAAATTTTTCACAACCCATATCTGCACCGAAACCTGCTTCAGTTAAAACGAATCCATTTTCTCCAGCAAGTTTTAATCCAATTCGATCTGCAATAATACTACTGTTACCATGAGCAATATTTCCAAATGGTCCCGCATGCACAAGAATGGGTGTTCCTTCCAAAGTTTGCATAAGAGTGGGTTCAATTGTATCTTTCATTAAAACAGTCATAGCACCAGCACAACCAATATCTTCTGCAGTAATAGCTTCACCTGATACACTTTTTGCTACTTCAATAGCACCAAAACGATTTCGCATATCATTTAAATCTTTGGCAAGAGCAAGTATAGCCATTAGTTCAGATGCCACACTTATTTCAAATCCTGTAGTTCGTGTCATTCCTTTTTCTTCTTTTCCTTGTCCAATTGTTATTTGACGTAACATTCTGTCATTCACATCCATTACACGTTTCCAAGAAATGGTATTAGGATCAATATTTAAACGAGCAAAACGGACTCGTTCTTCAGGTGTTAAATCTTTTGGATCATCCTTATGAATACCAAGTTTTTCCAATCTTTTTTTCATAATAGATGTAAAGTTCTTTAGTTCAGCAGTAAGACGTCGAAATAAGGCTTCATCACTTTGGGTGCGTTCGTGAAAAATTCTTGCATCTATAGCCGCTGCGAGAAGATTATTGGCAGCTGTAATAGCATGAATATCTCCTGTACCATGTAAATTAAATTCTTCCATAGGAATTACTTGACTATATCCTCCACCTGCAGCCCCTCCTTTTATACCAAATGTAGGGCCTTGTGAAGGTTGACGAATACATGCAAATGTTGGTCGTTGTAAATGTGCACATAGTGACTGTGCGAGTCCAATTGTTGTTGTACTTTTCCCTTCTCCTAATGGAGTGGGACTCATACCTGCAACAACAACATATTTTCCAGGTTTTGTATTTTCAAGACGCTTTAATATGTCAAGTTTCACTTTAGCCCTTGTAGAGCCATAAGGACTCAGTTCTGAAGGGAGTATACCAAAGGCTGCCGCAATACGTGAAATCTCAAATGGTTCTACACTTTGGGCAATCTCCAAATCACTCGGTACAGGGCTTTGGCACTGAAGACAGCGAATAGTTGTCATTGATGCAGCAAAACAGTTACAAAGGAAAAGAAAAGACAAAGCAATAGTAAACTTACTACTTTCTTCAGTTAACGAGTGTAGGTTGTGTTAGAAAGATATACTATAGGTCAAGAAAGAATAAAAAAAAAAAAACGAAAGAGAAAAAAAAAAGATAAATTTTCACAGATATTCACTACCCTGTTACTAAACCATCAGCAATCCACCTTTTTACCAAAAAAAAAAAAAAAAAAAGATCAACAGAAAACAACAAAAACCACAAGAGAGGGAAGAACAACAACAACAACAACAAGAAGAGGAACAACAA